AAAAATGGGAGGTGAAAGGGCCTCATAAGTTGAATAGCCTAGGGCCTCTTTTCATCTAAATCCGGCCCTGGCTCTCCCACATAGTAATGAAGGGTAGTTTCAGCGCAGTGATGAATAGATTATCAGTCATTATTTCTTCTCCCATTCATTATCAGCAACCAGGAGAAAAGTCAGCTTCTATTTACTCTCCCTCAATGAGTGATGGACCAGAGTTGGGAATTTGGGCCTTTGTTTTCATTATTTATTTTAACTTGAATTTTTTAATGGTGGCACACTCTTTCCAATCAGATGATGATCTGCCAGAACAGATCCCTGAAAAATGTTAAACTGTCTTCATGCTGCAAAAAGCAGGAAATGCAAATGAGCCCTGAAAGTGAATTCATTCTCAAAGTATGAATCCATATCAGAGGTGGAATTCATCCAGTTCTGACAGGTTCTGGAGAACTGGTAGCGGAAATTTTGAGTAAGTTGGAGAATGGGAAAATAGGCTGCCCCTGCCCCCCGCCGCTTCCCAGCTGATCTTCTTTTGATGCCCTGAACAGGAGAACGGAGCTGGAAAGCAGGTTAGTGGGATAGGGAGGGGATTTTGCAGTAGCCTTCCCCTGCCACGCCCACAAAGCCATACCACGCCCACCACGCCATACCCACAGAACCAGTAGTAAAAAAACCTGAATCCCACCGCTGATCCATATGGTAACATTAGTAGCGCTACTTGCATGCAAAAGAAAGACCTGGATGGGGAGGAGGGAGGGGTAAAACTTACTGTCTTGCAGAAGGATCAAAAATATTTGGTTTGGGGAAAAGACCCAGGAGTCTAGGCAAAGTCAAAAGAGCAGAAGAGCAAGCTGACTCTTTGGGGGAAAGAAAAAAATATGGGAGAAACGCATTGTAAGATTTCGGTATCTGTTGCTAAAATTAATAATATTGAAGTAATTAGTAATAGCAGATCTTATGTAATCTAAATCTAAAAGTGAGAGGTCATAGAAATATGAGCTACATGCCTTCCTTACATTCTGGCATATATTTTAAGGAAAGACACTGTTTTTCGTATTTTAGAAATGTTTGTTTATCATCCCATGCCTGTTAAGTACCTTTGGACTGAGCTGGGTGGAGTGCTGTGGTGTCGTAAGGAAATGTTGCAGGTACATGGATAAATGTTGAAACTCTGGGGTGTATTCAAGGTGTATGAACTTTGATCTTCGAAAATGTATTCATTTTGATACTTGCTTCAGGACCATTTCTGATATCAACTTGATCTATTTGCGGAAAAAAGATAAAATCTTGCCTTTTTGTAATTGTAAATAAGTCCTGTGTAGCTTTAGACAGATAACAGAGCAGTAAGAGAAGGAGCCAGGGGAAGGGAATAAATTTTATAAAATTATGAATAACATGGAAAGAGTTGCTAAAGACATTTTAGAAAACATAATGAGCTTGCTTCATTTTAATCTTGATTGCCTCTCTCTGTGTGTGGGTAGTTTGTCATATCATGTGAACGCATGTATGATTTAGTGCTTCACCATGTTAGGCAATCCCATAAAATATATTAATTAAATACCTCAGTAATATGTTTTCTGTGAGATAAATCAGCATATGATGGAATTCAGTCCTATTAAGCTACATTGGGGCTGCAAAATAAACATGGCTGAAATTACAGAAAATAAATATTGATATGATTGTTTTTCTTAAAAGAAATAGAAGCTACTTCAAATTGCAGATGAGAGTGGATTTAACCATTTCCCGCCCAACTGGATTCCCCATGCTCACATTCTAAGTGCTCTAGATAGTTGTTAACTTATGACCTAGTAACCATGTTTGATGCAAATAGCATTCTCATGGAGTGTATGCATTAGTGTCGACAAAGAACTCATTATCTTCCCTTCGTTGTACTTTTCTAAGCCAGATCATCTCATCCCATTCCAAGGCTGTTTAATACTTCAAAGAAGCATTATAAGTATTATTTGTACTACTGTTATTTCACCATTTAGGCACCAACAAGTTTTTAAAAATGCATCGAATGGAGAACACAGAATAATACACATTCTGGTTTAGCATCTGTGCCCTTGATCCCAGTAAAAGCGAAAGCAGATGTGGGAGTGAAGTATTTTCAGAAGAAAGTGGCACAAAAAACGTTAGCTGCTATGTATGCATGTTGTCAAGCAACAAGGAACAATGTTTTTGAACTGAGTTTCTGTTTTGGATGCAGGTAAGCGCAGGGCACATGTAGAGGCTCGGCACAGCCTTCCTCAACATACCATGTTTCCCTGAAAATAAGACAGGGTCTTATTTTCTTTTGACACCCCCCCCCAAATAAGCACTTGGCCTTATTTTTGGGGAGGCCTTATTATTTTTGAGGTACAGGAGACAGCGAGCATGGTCCCCTCATGGCTGCTACTGTGTTGCAATATTTTGGGGGAGAGCTTATTTTAGTGCATGCACTGAAAAGCCTGATTGGGCTTATTATCCAGGGAGGTCTTATTTTTGGGAAAACAGAGTAGTGATTAGAAAAATCCAGAATGCCTCAATTTAGGTTGTGGTTCTAGACAAAGACCATATGAATTGAAGGACCGTGGCTGTATTACTTTTATTTATTGCTATATTTATTTAGTGTCCATGCCTCAGCATATATACCCCTGGGATGGTCCACAATAGAATAAACATAATTTAAAAAACCAAAATTAATCCTGCATAAAATTATTAACAAAACAAAGTAAAAAGCAGAGGAAACACAGCTGAGAGGTGATAAAGGTGATTAATATGTTGGTTTACAAAGGTTAAACACTTGGAAGCTCAAAAATCCTATTTACATTAAATGCTTCAGAAAGTGTCAGGAAGCCTCCCCAAAGGTGATGGTAGGTCCAGGAGGATTCCTAAGACTCGGTGCTCAAGTTCAAAGGCACCTTCCTTGCTTAATAACTGCTTCTCCTGGGCCAAGAAATGTCTTTGCCATCCCTCTTCTCTATCTTGATGCTTTTCTGATGGATGAGATTTCTATTCCTGTAATGGAATTGAAGGGATGCTGTGGCTCAGTGGCTAAGACACTGAGCTTGTCGATCAGAAGGTCGGTAGTTCAGTGGTTCGAATCCCTAGTGCCGCGTGAGCTCCTGTAACTTGTTCCAGCTTCTGCCAACCTAGGCAGTTCAAAAGCATGTAAAAATGCAAGTAGAAAAATAGGGACCACTTTGGTGGGAAGGTAACAGGGTTCCATGCGCCTTCAGTGTTTAGTCTTTGGATAGTGCTGGCTCTTCGGCTTTGAAACGAAGATGAGCACCACCCGCTAGAGTTGGGAACGACTAGCACATATATGCGACAGGAACCTTTTCCTTAATGGAATTTGGTCTTGCAAGAAGATAGAGGGAGGCTGCTTTGGTTCTGATACACTGGGGTCACACTTCCCCCTCATTTAACAGATGCAGTGTAATATATCTTCCCAATGTGCTAAGCTTTGATCTGAATTCTGTTTTTGTCTATTTTTCTAAGAAAGGTAAAGTGGGCCATTATTCTTCATTCATTAAATACTAATGAAGTGAAAGAGCAACCTTGGTGAGCAAGGAGAATAAGCGCCAAAGAATATTTGAGAGAATTAGAGTTGAATTTGGGGTTTCATCTGTACTTTTGACCTATGACCTTTTATTTTTCATGGGGAATAAGTGGAAGCTAGGGTTTCTTCTTCTTTTTGTGCCCTCAAGTCATATTGCCTCCTTCCTAGACCTGAGAGAAGGTGAGTGACCCAAGATTAGCCAGCTTTGTGTCTAAGACAGGATTAGAACTCATGATTTCCTGGTTTTCTAGCCTATTGCTTTAATCATTACACCAAAGTCTGTCTCTGCCTCTGTCTGCCTGCCTGTCTCTCTCTTTCTCTCTCTCTCTGTTAAATTAAAGGTTTTTATCCAATAAAATTGTACAACTATTTTCTATACATGTTCAGAGAGACTTCTTTTAAATAATAATAATAATAATACAAACCACTAGAATATGCCCTAATTATGATGACATGAGGTAGTAACTCCCAACCCAGACCCTTCTAGATTAGGTGTTCAACATCGGCAACTTTAAGATTTCTGGACTTCAACTCTCAGCCCCAACACCAATGTTAGATTTCTGGGAGTTGAAGTCCGAAAGTCTTAAAGTTGGAAAGGGTGGACGCCCCTGATTTGGATTATGATCTGCAACTCTCAGCAATAGCCATGCTAACTGGGGAATTTTTTAATTTTTAATTAATTTATTTATATCAAAGATATAATTTCAAAAGATACATTGCTAAATGAATGTTATATAAGTAATGTGCAATATAATATTAATAAAAGATTAACCATAGTCCAAGTTCCTTACCATTGGTAGAGCCTTTTATTCTGAGCTGGGCTGCATTATAATTTCTTTTTCTCCCCATTTCTTGTCTTTTCTTAGATATCCTCCTAGATGATATTGTCCTTACCCACTCACTGTTTTTGCCCACGGAGCAGTTCCTACATCAGCTGTACCAACAATATCCTTCCTGCAAACTTTTGGAAAAATCCCTTTAGTAGGAGAAGAGTTGTGGGAAAAAAATCCATTTCACTTTTCATGTTTTCATATTCTTGGATCTTCTTGTATTTTGTTATTCTACAGCAGGAGTGTCAAACTCGTGGCCCAAGGGTCAGATGCCTCACGTGCTGGCCCCGCCCCTGCCCGGTTTAGCGAATGCTCTGAAGATGCAGTGATGAACCAAGTTTGACACCCTGTTGTACAGGGTGTTGTTGCATAAGTGGTTAATTTCCTGAGAATTTCAGCTACAATTTTCATTTTAAAAGCATATTTCTAGTCATTATGAATTGAAAATATGTGAGCAGCACCCCGTGAAAGTTTTGGAGTCATTAAATGTGGCCCATAGCTGTATGATTTTTGTATCCCTTGACCTTGGCAAAATTAGCTAGAAGCTGCCAAAGAAATGATGCTGAATGAGTTACATAAAAGAGTGATTAGCATTTTTAAAAGGCAGTTGATCTCTAGGAAGCTTATTGCATTTTTTAAAAAAATGGCCTTTAAAAATGGGAATAATTCTTTATAAGGGACAATTGACCTTTTAAAAGTTTATTCTCCTAGAGAATCACTAAAAAATTATATCATACAGTATTACTGTCCTTTTTTTTTAATTGGCTGTTGCTTAAGGAGGACAGGAAAATTCTGATACAATGATGATGTGCCACCTGTTCTTTTAATTCTGCATGATTTGTAAAATCTGGCCTGCACATATCCTTTTAGCCCTCTCTGCAATTTATCCTTCAGAGATTGCTATCATCATAAACAATTCAATTGTGCTTGTATTTCACTCTATTCTTCTTAGGAAACTGGTGAGGGACTGTCACTTTAATCTTTAGAAGACAATATTTGTAGCTCTAGGTTGAAACGAGGTGCTCTCTGAGCTCGGTTGTTTACCTGCAGACATTTCATTACCAAGCGGGTAACATCTTTCGTATTTGTTATCTTCAGTGTTTGAAATAAATATTCAAGCCTTTCCGGAAGTATTCCGAAACTATTCCACTCACACCTTTCCCATTGATCAGAGACATTTCTGGGCATGGAAAGCTCACAACACAATTCTGATAAACCTGAAACATTTTAAACCAAAATTGGGAGTTTTAAATTCAAAATGTTCAGAACTTTAAATTTTTTGTATGTCTTTACAGTTTTGTGATTATTTGGAATTAAGATCAACAGGTTAGTTGTGCAAAATTCCTTTGGTTTTTCTCATTACCATCTGGATTCAGATTAATTCCACTTCATTCCCAGATCTGTCGTTTGGAATACTTTCTCCATTCTATTTATTTGTTCTTTCCTGAAACTTCATGCTATTGGTTTACCTTAACCTGCCTTTCCTACCTTCATGACGGCGTCAGCAATCCCATCCCCGCCATGCTGGAAAGAAGACGAGGCTGTGCACCGGAAACGAGCAGTTTTGATCATTTTACTGCACTTTCTTGAAACATTCAAGGGGATTCTGCAAGAAGAAGAGAAGGCTGGCAAAGTCATCAAGGTATTACAGAGCTTTTTTTTGCCCTGCTTTCATGAGAACGAACTAATTAAGAAATGGATATGGCTGGATTAAAAGATCACAATCGTTGTTTTTCTAAACGTTATTTCATATGTCTAAGGAGGCAAGTTTCATGGTTAGCTAGATGCCGTTGGGCAGTAGTTGCTATTACTTTGTTTAGGCACTTTGAAGTTATTTGGCCCAAGCAACTTTCTCTTCACTTTCAGGATCTGTATTTGCTGATCATGAAAGATGCATCCCTCTACCACAAACTGGAAGATGAAATCCTGAAGTTACATCAACTTGTGGACACAGTGGAACTCAAGTAAGTTAAATATGGCAACATGGATGGGAAAGTTTTGGTTCCCATTTGGACTGAATCCAGATAAGTCAGAGTAACGGTGGTCGTAGAAGCCTTTTTCATATCATTTTTTATTCTGAAGGCGGTTAAACTATCCTGGGTTAAAGTGATTCATAATATAGGGGTCTTCCTGGATTCTAAACTGGGGATCAGGTGGAAGCTGCGTCTAGGGAGTCCTTTGCAGAGTTATATCTTGTATGCTAGTTACAATCTTATCTCGATCTAAAAGCTCTTATTACCTTTGTACCTTGTCTAGACTATTGCTATGCACATTAGATGAGATTGCCCATGAAAATCACTTGGAAACCAACTGGTCCAAAATAGAATGGCTTGAATGATGAGGGTTCTGCTGGGTATTTACATGTAACACCTCTAGTGTAGGAGCTTCACAGACTACCTACTATTATGGGTGGTTGTCATTTTTAAAGCTCTCCTGTAGTTACATACTTCAGGAGCATCTTACTCCCAGGAAGGAGATTAAACATTGCTATTTCTAACTGGGAATCAATTATTTCTCAGATTGCATGATTTAATTTCAAAAATCATAGATTCAGATCTTGAAGCTGCTGTTAGACCTATTGGGAAATGGGACATAGATGTTTGTCGCATTGGCCAAATTTGCATAACACACTAACTTAAAATGTGACTGGATGCTTTGTAGTTTAGTGAACTGTGTCAGTCATGGCTATTTTGGAGGATGTAGTTACTGTCTCTTCTGGCTTCTAAATCTTGCCATCTGGCTACAGAGTGACTGAAGAAACCCAACCACCCAGTAAGCAGGTCAAGCCTTTATTCAGACATTTTCGCCGCATAGATTCATGTCTTCAAACCCGAGTTGCTTTCCGTGGATCTGATGAAAGTAAGTAATAAAGATTATCCTTGGCAGTGGGGTGGAAGAGATAATAAAATTAAAGTTTTGTTTATAGGAACTGAATAAGGAAAGCGATACAATTTCATCCTACCATTGGCAAAAATTTGCAAATGCATACAATCTCTTGAATAAATTAGACAAGATTTGCCATTCAACTTTTCCAGACCAAAATATCCACTTGGAATGTTTAGAATGTGGTTTGGCATTCTCTCAAAATTATTGTTATGGCGGGATTTGTGCGTTTCCAATTAGGACTGTTGTCTCCCAAGAAAAATGTCACAATGACATCTGCTTTCTTTTCTGCCTTCTCTATTGCAGCCTTTTCAAAGTTCAGAAAATAAGAGATTAGAGAAAGTAGGGGAAAAGTAAAAGCAGTCAAGTTAGGGTTTTTTAAAATATTTTTTATTATTTTTTATAAATGTATCAAATCAGTGTGTGGACAGTGTGGCACCTGGGTGTCATACATTCTAATACAAATAAAGCTATTAAAGTTAATTATAATTGTTACATTCAGTCAACTTATGTATTTCTAGTAATAATACACATTTATATTAGGTTGCAGTCTATCATTGTTCAATTGTTCCATATTTTCTCTTATTATTACTTCCATCTTATTATATGAAAATGTATACACTAATATTCCCCTTCTCATATTTCTATCACTTATTTTAACTTTTAATCATGTCACTCTTTATTAAAAGACTTTTCCTTTCTTTTCTCTCTAACTTCTAATCATGTCACCTATCTAAAGAAAAAAAACAATAAGCAGAAAGAGATATAGATATAGATAAAGGAGAAGCAAATAATAAGTTAGTTTAAGGTACAGTTTGTCAATCTTGCTGGTTGAGGAATTCTCAGGGTTGAAGCTGACACACCTCAGTTGCCAAGTTTGGAAAACACTGCAATAATGCCCCTTTTCACTGGCTCCAGTTCTTCTGTCTTTGCCGAAAAAAGGTGTGCCAAATGAAGCAGAAACAAGTTTTTCTTCATACTACATTCTAAGAATTTGGCATGATAACATAGGAATGAGCTAAACTAAAAATTAAGTCGGCGTGTTCAAAAGATTTTAAAAATTAAAAATATCTCAGTAATCATTCAGCAGCATCAAGTTAGGTTTATAAGACAGTAATGGGGCAGGAACAAACAGGGACACTGATGTTGATTAATCCCTGTTCCAGGGATTAATAAATTGGGCTTTTCTACGAGTTGAAATTTCAAAGTGTCACACAAATCAAATGATAGAAGTCTAACTTGAGATGCCATGAGTGATGTCTCAAGGTCTGTATTTAAGGGGGAAAGAGAGGGAATTAAGCAGCATCCTTGTCATTGTCCTACATATAGTTTTCCAGATGAGTGATGAAACTAGGAAACTCCTTAATCTGTCTAGAAGCAACAGAATTCCACCAGTGTTGATTGTTCCTGCTGTTTCCATATTGGAGGACCAACATTACAGGCTTTTCCAAATGCAACATGTTGGCTTGATCACATCTAACTGTGGCCAGAGTCTCAGAGACACTGATAGGATTCAAGCCATCACTGAAGTCCCTTGCTATTCCAGATTTCAGCAGTTTGGTTGTCTCCCCTTTTTTTCTAGTCTTCTGCCGAGTCTATATGCCAGACCATTCCTATGTCACCATCCGCAGCCGCCTCTCAGCCTCTGTGCAGGACATCCTCACGTCAGTGACCGAGAAACTTCAATATTCTGATGAACAGCCTACACGGGAGGAAGCTCTCATTCTGGTGGCTGTTGCATCATCAGGAGGTATCTGTCCCTCAGGAAGAATGATAGTGACACCTCTGTGGTTTGGGTTATCCTTCCAGTCTTGAAACTCAAAACTTTCAGAAAATAAAAGGTCAAAGAGGGGAAAAGGACAACAGGTTATAGTTACTATTACATCTTACTGCCATCTTTTTCATTGTCTCAATAGCAAGTTCATTTTGCTCCTGGTCAAAATGAAGCACATTCAGGTTTTCTTGTTTGTTGCACCAGAATGAGGCCTAAGAAGAAGGTAGTAGACTTACTTAGTGCCTAAGGTCACATAGTATGCAGGGAAATGTACATGTACAGCAAAAGTGAAACAGAGTAGTGAATTAATGAATAATTAATTAATTATTCAATAACATAAGTTGAAATAGAGGATAGTTCTTTTTTCCAGTTTAACATTTTATTGAGTTATAAAATATTATAAAGTAAATAGAAAAGCAGAGAGGAGGAAAAGGGGGAAGAGAAATGAAGAAGGATAAGAAAAAAAAAGAAAAAGCATTGACTTCCAACTCTCTCTGTTGCAGTAAAATAAGGCACTAACATCAAATTACAACTTTTTGCTTTTTCATATGAACAAGCCATTTCGGTAAAGATCTATCAATCTACTCGGTGAAACCCTAAATCAAAATTTCATTCTTTTCCACTTCAAGCACGAAGTTCAGAAGTGGTCTCTATGTTGAAACAAAAATACTTATGTTCTTTTCTTTAATCAAAGTAGTCAATTTTGCCATTTCGGCCAGCTCCATCAACTTCTGCAACCATTTGTCCATAATAGGAATTGAAGTGTCCTTCCATTTTTGTGTATATCTTGCTGCTGTCAACATATATACATAATAACAAAGTGAAATAGAAGATAGTTAAGTTGTATGTTGTTCCTTTGTCTTCTTTGTGGAAGACTTAATGAGTGAAAGTCCTTCTGCCTAAAGTTTGGTTTTAAAGACTGGGAAAGTCTCAACACTTAAGTCTAAAGCCAAAAATGAAATAATGAAATAATACTTATAAATGGTGTCCCAAGCCAAGCCAGTTGTAACTCTCCAGGGTGTTCAGATAGACAAGATAGGACAAATGGTTTTTTTGGGGGGGAGGGGTTCTTACTTTAGGCATTCCAGATGTGATTGCACTGTGAGAAACTCCACTGGTGCCAGATGTCAAAAAAAGTGGGCCAGCTACATATTGAAGCATAAAATGTGTGTTCATTGAAAGGAGGATTTATAGACTTCATGAGGACATGAACCTACAACCACCTTATTGTTTTAAAAATAAAAATGTTATGGAGGGTATTTATATGCCAATCCAGATAATTCAGTAATGTTCAATCACTTTCATCCTTAATCTCAGATAAAACTGTGCTACAGCCTAATGAAGAGTGTGTTTTCACTACCTTGGGAATAAACAGCCATCTTTTTGCCTGTACTAAGGATACTTTTCCATCCTTGGTAAGTGGATTTCCTTGGATGTTGCTCTCTTTGTCATGCCAGTATGGCTTTCACGTTATGACTCTTTGTGGTTGCAGTTGCTGTGTTCATGGTTGCAGTTCATTTTTACTCTCCAGCTTTCCAACATATGTAAATATTTCTCCTTCCATTCCCCTTATGTATGCTTATAGGAAATACACATTTACACGCATACATACCCAGATCTTCTACTGGTAACATACCCATCAGTTTGACCTTTCCTGCAGGTCCCTCTCCCAGAAGAAATCCAAGTGTCACCAGGTGACACAGAGATCCACCGAATGGAAGCTGAGGATGTAGCAAATCACCTGACAGCTTTCCACTGGGAACTCTTCTGGTGTGTCCATGAGGTGAGCAAACCAAACCAAACCAAACATAACCTTCCTAATTTGAGCTCTTCCAGATATGTTTGGACACTGAATTCCGGGGAGACCTAAATATACATCCAGAGATGCCTCAGATTCCTACTTCTGTGTAATTCTATACTGTACTGAGTGTTCCCTTGAAATGCTAGACTACTTTGGGTAGAGGGAGCTTCTCAATAGGCCTATTCAAACTTTGCAAGGAGAACTGTACTTTCTGCCATTCTTAGATTTTTTTTAAAAAATGAATTTTCAGAAATGGAAAAGCTTGGCTGATATTTTGCACTTCAAAATAGCAGGATGTTTTCATAACTGAATGTTTGGAAAAAGATGAGGTTAGGAGCTTGCTCTCTGACACATTTTTTTTTTTTACTAGAGACTTAAAACATCATACATCATCAGGCAGTCATCACTGAAATGCTAACAAATTTGTCTTCATTACAATAATAACAGCACAAGAGTGACTGACCTGATTTTATCACTTCCCTCCCCCAGTGGTGGTTAAACAAATGTGGTCATTAAGCAAATGCCACGGTCATTAATTTAACCAATTGTTTGCTTTGGGCTAGTTCTGCCGAAATCTGGAAGTAAATACCAGTTTTCAGCAAAAACGTTGTAAAATGCAGTCAAGTGATCATGGGATGGTGCAAGTGGTGATAAATGTGGCCTGGTTGCTGAGAACCCAAAATGCTGTCATGTGTCTGTGGATTTGAACTTTAGAACTAGGTCATAAGTACTCCTGGGAATTCTGTAATTCTGAATGTTCATTAAGCAATCAGTTGTAAGGCGAGGACAGCAAGTGTCAAAGAATATTCAGTCATTTGGCTTTTACCATTTTGTGGCTTGAACTGATCCAATATGACAACGTGGCTTTACTTAGCCTTAGCTTTTCTCCAGTTTAGTTCTCCTTGTTATATGTGACATAGACTGATCAATGAAAGGAGTTCATGTAAATGAGATGCTTAGCACCAGGGTGAAGCCTTCAATCTGGGTCTCAGAAGCCCCATTGGTTACTCTCTTTCCTTTTCAATTTCTTTATAGCTAGAATTTGTGGATTATGTGTTCCATGGGGAACGTGGCCGACGGGAGACTGCCAATCTGGAATTGCTGCTGCAGCGCTGCAGTGAGGTTCAGCACTGGGTGGCCACTGAAGTATTACTCTGTGACTCTCTAGGAAAGCGGGCTCACTTGCTCAAGAAATTCATCAAGATTGCTGCCGTGTGAGTGCCAAATTTTGGCCCTTTGTTCACAATGGGATTACACTTAATACAGTCATAATGTCCCTGATGATGATGGTTCTCCTTCTGTTACTTGACATGAGATGGTTAATGTTTCCCAAATGTTCAAAGCCCCAAGCCCTTTTTATATGGGTTGCATGGGTGATGCAAGTAAACAACAGCAGAGTTTAATTGCACAGTTGTGGCTGCCATCTGGACTTTTTTGACACACAAACACACATGCGGACGCTCTGGTTAGAAGAACATGCTGCGTTAAGGGAAATGGTTTAAAATTCAAAAGGAGGATAATTGAAAATATTCAACTTCTTTGAATTTCAAGCAGTCCCAAAGAGAGGGTGAACTAAGTCCTCACAAGGTTACAGGCAATCATCTTCCTCTGCAGTTACAGGCAGTTCATATTCTCTTTTGGCCAACTTCCAGTTCTTTAATGAATATATTACAATGTCTTGAAATCGGTAAAATAAGAATATTGGAATTCTGAAAGGTTTGCAGAATATACTGTGAAATCTTAGCTTTCATTTTTTCTCCTTTCTTGTCCTGTTCAATCATTATGTTCCTCTCTGCTTCTTCCTTGTATGGTCAGTCCACTTCTGTTGGTTCCTTTAAGGTTAACGGCTAGGAAAGTCAAACTTGTTTCACCACCCTGGTTGGCTTTAATATCCAATGACAGTTGAGCCTTTGCTCAAGCTTCCTTCCCAGATTGTTTACTAGATAAGGGGATGTTGCAGTAGAAAGGCCTGGGGCCTGGAGGAGGAGGTTGAGCACAGCCATGAAACACACTGGGTGACAAATTATGGCCTTGGGGGATATTTTTCAGGTTAGAGATGTGCTCTAAATTTCTGGATTTGCAAAGGCTATGGTTTGGTTACAAATGATGTTTATATCTTATGGATTTCATGGAAGACAGTGTTGTCTTTCCTCTTATCATTTACCTAGGGAGCACTTACTTTTAGCATCCTGCTAATCATTTGTATAGGTTGGGTTTTACATCTCTTTAGCTGCATTTTGACCACCGTGGAGGCAGATATATATGAATTCGGTAGTTCAGATTTTGCTGATGATAAAGTCACCTTCCTTCTCATTTCCCTTTCCATCCCCTGCTTCTCTTTGAGCCTCGGCAGCCTATCTTGGCTCAGAAGTGTGAGAAGACAAGGTGGAGACATTTATTTGCACCTTTTTCTCTCTCTTCATCTCCTCCTTTTTTTTTTCTTTTTTTTTAAAGTTCATTTATTAAGATTTATAGGCCGCCCTTTTCCCTGAGGGGACTCAGGGCGGCTTACAATCACAAGGGAAGGGGGTGCAGTATCAAAAGACAAAACAAAATGTGAACAAAGAAAAAAATAAAACACAACTTTCGTTCAGCAATCAACACTCGGGCGGGTAACTTGGAAACCTATCCCCAGGCCTGCTGGGAGAGCCAGATCTTGAGGGCTGCGCGGAAGGTCTGGATGGTGGTGAGGGTACGAATCTCAACGGGGAGATCGTTCCACAGGGTCGGAGCTGCAACAGAAAAGGCTCTCCTCCGTGTAGTCGCCAGTCGACATTGACTGGCAGATGGAATTCGGAGGAGGCCCAGTCTGTGCGATCTAGTTGGTCGAAGGGAGGTAATCGGCAGGAGGCGGTCTCTCAAGTACCCAGATCCACTACCATGGAGTGCTTTAAAGGTGGTCATCAGTACCCTGAAGCGCACCCGGAGACCGACAGGTAGCCAGTGCAGCTCGCGGAGGATGGGTGTAACGTGGGCGAACCGCGGTGCGCCCACTATCACTCGCGCGGCTGCATTCTGGATTAACTGTAGTCGCCGGATGCACTTCAAGGGCAACCCCATGTAGAGCCCATTGCAGTATTCCAGCCTAGAGATCACAAGGGCTCGAGTGACTGTTGCGAGAGCCTCCCGATCTAGGTAGGGCCGCAACTGGCGGACCAGGCGAACCTGGGCAAATGCCCCCCTGGTCACAGCTGACAGCTGGTAATCAAAAGTCAGCTGTGGGTCCAGGAGGACTCCTAAGTTGCGGACCCTATCTGAGGGGTATAAAATTTGACCCCCTAGCCTAAGTGTTGGTACATTAGCCAAATTGTTGGGAGGGAAACACAACAGCCACTCGGTCTTGTCCGGGTTGAGTACCAGTTTGTTAGCGCTCATCCAGTTCTTAACGGCCTCAAGACCCTGGTTCATCACGTCCACCGCTTCATTGAGTTGGCACGGGGCGGACAGATACAGTTGTCTTACTGTAGACAACTGTACTCCTCCCCCTCTTACTCTAATGGCACTCGAGAGTGAAACAGGGTAGAATATTTGACTGCAATTAAGGTAACATAGATTTAAGGGGCATTATGTCTTATGCATATAAGTAGTAAGAGGGCTATGATAGCAGCCAAGATGGCTTCTCCTATTTTACTGATTGATATCACACTAAATTGAATTAAGAGCAGGGATGGTACGATCAGTTGAAACTGCTCAGTTTTAATATTTTTTTGGTTTGCTTCTTAGCTATCTTTTTTTCTGCCCATAGATGTAAACAGCATCAGGACATGTTAACATTCTATGCTGTGGTTATAGGACTGAACAATGCACCTGTCAGTCGTTTATGCCTCACCTGGGAGGTAAGATGATGATGAAGAGAAATGGATTTTTGTGTATTTTTAATATCAGTTATCTCTTTTTCTCCCATACACACTATTTTTTCACCAAGATTTGCAGTTAAACTTTTATATTTCAAATGGTCAAGAATGTGCAATATAATGTTTTAAAATTTTAAAGGAAGGCATCCTGAAAAATTCTCATTATACCATCATCTTAAAAACAATTAAAAACTACTGGACATTAGATCCAGATTATCCATAATTCATTATGACTCCAATAGATGCATTTAAATTGGGCAAATCTGAAGTACTTCCTTTGTTTCAATTGGTTCATTCTATGGGATCTTTGCTTAATTGCCTCTAATCATGTCACAAAGATTTTTAGGAACACTCATTTTATGCTATGTCCTAGGAAATTGCCTTCATCTCATTGGGAACTGTAATTATACAGGTTACAATGAAATTTTCCTCATTCCGGCACTGTCCAAGGTCCATTTCATGGTGTGAAATCTATTATGCTTTTTTTTTTTACTCATCACGGTAAAGAGAAATTAAGTAGTTCCAGTTACTTGGAAGCAGGATCAGAGTCAATAATTAAAAATAGCAGATTTCATGATGCTGGTATAATTTTTTGAAAATTCAAAATCTTTGAATAAGACTTCAGCTCACTGAAAGGTCTTTTGAAAGATGAGCAGTAGTTCACTTCTTGTTATGATTTACTGCAACCATAGTTCTCATTTTTAAAACTATAGTTTATGATTTAGGGCAGACTGCAGGAGTTGAATCTGCACAACATAGCAAGCCAGAATCAAAACCAAGTTCTTTTGGACTTGATATGAAATCCAGCTTATCTGGCGCTAATACATGAAAAGCAAAATAAAAATATAACGATTACTCCTAAGAATCAGGGAACAAGTTTTTCTGATTAGGGAGATCTAGGAGTATCAAAGAAGCAGTTCTTCATCCCTTACTTAGATAATTTTTGAACTCAGAAAGAAGTTTCATGGAGTTTCTAAGAAACTACAAGGAAGTCTATCCCAATGTACTTGCTTCTGAACAAAGCTGTAAGGACAAGGTTGCAAACCAAGATACAAACACAGACAACACCTGGTATACTGCAACCAATTTTGGTTACCATACTACAAAAAAGATGTTGAGATTTTGGAAAAAGTTCAGAGAAGAGCAAAGATGATCAAAGGCCTGGAGACTAAAACATATGAAGAACGGCTGCAGGATTTGGGTTTGACTAGTCTTAAAAAAAGAATAATTAGGAGTGACATGATAGCAATATGTCAGTATTTGAGGGGCTGCCACAAAGAACAGGGATTCAAATTATTTTCCAAAGCACCAGAGAGCAGGACAAGAAACAATGGTTGGAAACTAATCAAAGAGAGAAGCAACCTGGAATTAAAGAGAAACTTTCCAACAGTGAGGACAATTAACTAGTGGAACAGCTTGCCTTCAGAAATCGTGGGCACTACATCACCTGAGGTTTTTAAGAAGAGACTAGACAGTCACTTATCTGAAATGATATAGGTCTCCTGCTTGAGCAGGGGGTTAAACTAGAAGACCTCTAAGGTCTCTTCCAGCTGATTCTATTCTTTCCTTTCCAATATCTACCTACATATCTATATTAATTTAGGCTAGAAATATCCCAGAGGGTGTGTGTTACAGCATACAAATCAATCAGTCAGTGAATCAATCAGTATATACTATTTGTTTATCTATACTATCTATATCTCACAACTAATATTTTGAGGTATGCATTTTTAAACCATTTGATAAACCAAGGTAGCTGGTACCACAGAAAGAAGCAAGGTAATTAGTTGCTTCTACTGCTTTCTTTCCATCTCTGTGAAGTATGAATTTTATCTTTTTATTTCCAACTCAATGGAATGCTAGGCAGAAATTACGTAAAAAGAATCAAAACTATTTATCAAGAAGGTAAGTTTTCCAAAACTGAACATAAGAGTCCAAATTCAGGTGGGAAAAATACCCCACAAAAGAAAGACTGAGTTCACAAATAGCCTGATGTGGCATTACAGGAGAAAAAATATCCTAAAAAACTCCTTCAAAGCATTTCAATGGTCCAGCAATAGCAATAGTACTTATATACTGCTTCACAGTGCTTTATAATTCTCTCTGAGCAGTTTACAGAGTCAGCATATTGCCCCCAACAATCTGGGTCCTCATTTTACCAACCTTGGAAAGATGGAAAGCTGAGTCAACTTTGAGCCAGTGAGACTCTGCCAAACTGAGCTGGTGATCAGCAAAAGTATCCTGCAGTACTACATTCTAACCACTGTGCCACCCCAGCGCTTTTTGGAATGTTCCTGACTGCTCCATTCTATACTCCTCCTCCTTCCTGGCCATGTGACCCAGATTCTAACCCCCTTTTATAAAACTGATTTGAAAGATTAAGATTAGGTTTGTTTATAACAGTGTTTTTCAAACTTGACCATTTTAAGATGCATGGCCTTTAACCCTCAGGGTTTGTTTGTTCCTTCCTTCCTTCCTTCCTTCCTTCCTTCCTTCCTTCCTTCCTTCCTTCCTTCCTTCCTTCCTTCCTTCCTTCCTTCCTTCCTTCCCAGTCATTAACCAACAACACAAAATAATAAAAGGAGGAAGGATATATGGCTAATATCGCTGTAAAACTTGTAGTATAGTAAGATATGTGAGATGTTTTTAACTTTCTTATTATCACATGTACACGTTCATTCTGCTATGGGTGTTTTATTATATCTTCCTTGCAGGATTGCTGAAGGTAGAATATTAAATCTATCTCTAAAAAATGCTATGCTGCTCTTAGGAAAAGTTGGGTCTTTCAGGTAGCCCATTTATTTCATCTAATCCAATTTCTGATGTGGAGAGGTATCTTATTACCATCTTATTAACATCTAGCTGAAATTTCATGTCTCTTATTCTGTTGGTAACCAATTACTTGTCTTGATCATAGCCTAATGAGATTAAGAAAAATCTGAAAAGCCCATATAAGGGCAGCTTGTGTACTATCAACTGTTTCTAGGGAGAGGAGCAGTTATCTAATCAGGACTGGATGGGTCAAGCGCACTAGGAAGGATTGAATTTTCAGCCATTAAACTATCATCATCTTCCAGGCCTTAATGTAAGGCATTCTTGTCTCAATTCCCAATTGGACATTTGATGTCCCACTAGGTGCATCTAAAATTGATTAGAGTAATTTTGTTTCTACAGTTTCCACTGACTCTTTCTTCCAAAATAATCCTGTTTGTGCCATTCATCTCACAGAATTCTCCAGCCAGCATGGGAAATTTTGAAGTCCATACATCTTGCCAAGTTTGAAAAATACTGGTTTAAAGAGTTTTCTGTATTCCTTCCTTAGCATAGTTAGATTTTGGTAGACACTGAGTAAAAGGGTGTTAATTCCATCTTGAGGAGCAGCAGTAAAGGACTTTGATTATATGTTTGTTTTGCTTTACTGCAGGATCCAATCTGGGTCAGTTGCCGGGACCAGAAGTTTTGTCTTCTGAGCTTTCGGACTCATGCTAGTGCCCAGATAAAGAAAAGTTCCCTGATTTGGGCTACAGCATGAGTCCGAAACCTTGGATGACAAAATCTCTGGTCCCAATGACCGACCCAAATTGGATCCTGCAGGATTATTTTGGGACAAGTATATTCACCTTCATTCTTGCTTTAGTGATCACAATAATGAGGAATCAGTAAACTATTAGTCAGCAGTGTTAGAAAAGATGGTTGCTATACCTAATTATGAAATTGCTATCCTTTGCACCTTTTTTTAAACTTGGGAGCCAGACAGTGGTGGTGATAAATCATTGCATTAATTTTTTTCTACATTTTCAGGCTGTCTTTATTTTCAACATGATTTATGGTAATTTATTCTTTCTTATTTTAAAAAAGGACAAAATGTAGATGTGCCTTGCTTGAGAAACCATTTAGCAAAAGAAAGCTTGATGTACAAATAGTTGGCACAAGTGAAAATATTTTTGTTTACTCAGATATTTTTAGGTTTATTAGGAATTATTATATTGTACTTTTTAAATATTTATTTGTTGTACATAGTTTCTGCACTTCTAGAAAGCATTAACATCTTTAACGTGCTCATATTTAATCTGTTTCTGTCAACAGTCTATTTACATGCAAAGCATTATTGTTAGCATCTAAAATGTGTTTTTATTTCATTGTAGGCTGTCTGCTTACAGCTGAAAGTGTGTTACTTGGCAGACCTGATAAATGCTTCTTAATTTTCCTTTTTTCGCTTGGTAAAGCTTGAAAGAAAATAAAGAATAAAAGCTAAACCCCACTTCATAGTAATAAAAAATGAGGAAAAGAGATTCAGCAGGAAACAGCAAAAGTAGCTAAAGCTGCAAAGAAAGCTTTTAATAAAAATTGGATGTCTCTTCTGAGGATAATACTTGTTTCCAAGTAAATATGGTGGAACAATGCTGACTTTAAGAAAGAACTTGCTGCATTAAGTGTTTTTATATTAAGTGCTGCATGGAATCACTGTTTTAATGCTACTTCCCCTGTGGCTACAGGTAATTGCAAAACAGAAGGGCTGTAAGGATATCAAAAGACTCTAGTCCAGAATTCATTATTTTTCTTACACTTTCTGAAAATCAGGTAAAAAAAAACCTTATTACAGCAATAGAGTGGAAAACTGAGACTCCTTAAGTATCTACTGTAAGTCACTATATGTTGAAAGATTCACAGTTGCGATATAGTGAGTGTTGAATTCATCTTTCCCAAACTCCTAAGTTGACACAGAAACATAGAGACACTAAGTTGTTCATTATATTCACAATGTTCCTTTTGGCTATTTTGCAAGAGTCACTTTTCCTGTTTATCAGGAATTGAGGGTACACATAGTTTTTAATAGCTGGGCTCCTCCTATAATTTCAAATAATCTTTGGCATCAAACTGTGTTGGCATCAAGCAGAGATGCAGACAAAAAGCATCTATGATCCAGAAAATTCAGTAGTAGTTTTCTTATTTGAGGACTTTTCCTCATGAAGCTTATACAACAGGGTTTTAGCAAGTAGGATTTCAGCATTAATGGTGAATGTTTCCTTATTTAAGATTTACTTTTATAGTTTTCAGTTCTGAGTTAGTGTTGAGTTGATACAATTTATACAAATCTTAGTATCTTAATCTTTGGGCTATATCTGATTCCATGTTGTATTAAATTATGATTTGCCTAATGAGTTTACAACTCATAATAGCTAATTCACATAACACATAAAATGCACAATAGTTTTAATGAAATATTTATCAGGCCTTCAGAGAATCCCTGTTCTTTTTTCTAAGTTAGCCTGTGTAAATCCTAAAATATACCTTATGAATATAGCGTATAATTCTGACATTTTAGGAGGAAATCAAATCTAAATCCTAATCATGTATAAAACAAAACCAGATGAGTAACATGCGGGCATATGAGCTCACCTTTTATGTACAGAAATATATACATACATATATAAAATCATAGAATGTAAGCGCTGAAAAGTTTTTTTATTAATGGATTTAATGGATCTAGCTCAGATTCAAGAACCAGTTCCTGTATCCTGTGTGGTTATTATGCAGCATGCGTATCTTTAACAGTCAAATTCATTCAAAACTGGATGGAAGGGTATACTCTTATCACTCCTTATGTATTGAAGGAGGCTGGGAGCCATTTTGTAATGTATGTGGGCTTAAATTACCACAGCTTGGGATTTAACATGCTAGTTAGACAAATACAGTCCTAAATGCAGTTTTGCAAATTCTATGTCCGTGCTACAGTAGAAAGTACTGATTGAACCTGAACCTGTTTGCTGCACCTGAAGAGATCTACTTGTTCTCTTATTCCACCCATCTCATTTTGAAGCGACTGAGCAATTTATAGCATAAAATACATTAAAACAATCAAGTATAAATATTCCAACCCAATAAAACGACAATATAAACAAAATAAAAGTATTGTCACAAGATGGAGAAGGAAGGAATCAGATGCAGGGGTAGGGGAGAAGAGGCGGTATTAGCTCTTAATTAATCAACCATCTCAGGTGTGAAGCCCATTTGAGCCCCAAGCCATCTGGCAGAATCCGGTCTTAAGGCTCTTGTGGAAGGTCAGAAGGATGGAAGCTGGTCTCAACTCAGAGGGTATGATATTCCAAAGAGTAGGAACTGCAGCAGAAAAGGCTCTTCTTCTGGACCCTGCCAACCAAAATTCCTTGACTGACAGGACCCGCAGTATGTCCCCTCTGCCACCATGGGTGGGTAAACTAGTCCCTTCAGGGTAAGATGGTTCCTCCAGTTCTCCTATGGTCCTTGCTAGACACCTGGGCATGTTAGATGGTTCTAGTTGTAAGATGCAATCTAACTTCCATTGAAAAAGGAGATCTAAGAAAACATTAGAAAACAGCATAAATTCTCAGTTCAAATTTTTTTAAACAGGTTTGCCTGTATAACTACTTTCCCTTATCTGAAGTCTCAAAGGGTTATCTACTTAATGCCTGAAAATTAGGAGAAGACGAGTTTGTGCTTCACTCTTCATTTTACAATAAATTCCATTAAACCAGGGATTAATGTAAGCTTCAATGTGGTCATTTGTTTTCCTCCAAAATATCAGCTGCTTCTCAGACGCTATACATAGCTTCCATACTGGGGCACTTCTGACACTTATTACCTACTCATGGAGAAATCTTTATTTTTTGGCAAAGCAGTTGGAAGGGAAAATGTTGGGAGACACGCCTTCCTCCTCTTTAAATTGTAGCTTGCTCAATTTACTTTCAGTCAACATCTGCAAGTTTTCCAAGTGCTTAGCAGCCTTTTGTCTGGATAGATTAGCCACATCCATCACTGAAGACAGACTGAACAGGACAAACTCTGCTCTGAACGGATTGTTTTTAAAACATCTTGTCCATTTAGAACTGTTTATATCTCTGATTATCTTCTGTTTGTTTTTCTTCCAGAAGCTTCCAGGCAAATTTAAAAACTTGTTTCGTAAATTTGAAAATCTCACGGTAAATCATTCATATTTCCTTTATAAGAGAACTGGTAAAAACTGGCGACTAAAAGGAACTGAAAGTGTGCAATGCAAGCAACAAGAGCATCCAGTTCAAATATTTTATTTTAATCCCACTTTATTATAAGCCTTGAATTCTTTTTTCGCTTTTCTCCTAAATCAAAACTAGGAAAAAAAATCTAGATTTTAGGCTATTTCACTTCCAGCAATTAAGATAAAGCTTTTCCCACCGATAAGCTCAGTTTAGATCCTGAAAACTCTATCTTCTAATGTTTTCTAGAAGTCATTCATTTGTTTCTTTTCATAATACAGTGGTTAATAAACAGTGTCCTAGGTAGTTTCCTAGGTCATAGTCATTCGGACCTCAGGGACCACTAAATTCATAATTTTAAATCCCGCAGACTATTAATATGGTTTTTTATAAAAAAGATAAATAATATTTAGTGCAATATAAAAAAAATGCAAATAGTTTTTCTGCGGGCCACCAAAATTCTCTCACAGACCACCAGTTGGTGACCTAGATAGTTTTTTTGGAAGCTTACTGAGGATCTTCTAGAAACAAGTGGTGGACATTTTATATGAACAACAGATCCCTGTGTTTGTACCCCAATGAGCTGTGGCAGAATTTTTAATATTTGTAGATTTTTGCTGTCAGCCACCATGAAATAAATATAGACCAAGAATGTTGCCTGGAATCGCTTTTAACATTGTGATATAAAAAAATTTTCGGGGAAAAACTACTGACAGAAATAGTTTTTCATCCTGGAGGTCTACATTCTTTTAAAAGATACTTTTCTCCTTTCCTTTTTTTTTCTTTTTTCCTCTCCTGCTCTTTCAAAGTAGTCCTAAATCTGCATAGTTCAAACAGTATTTGTGATAATTGAAATGATTTTGAGCCTCCTAGCCTCACGGAGGATTCATATTTAACACATTTAATTGGCTATATCCATGGCTTTGTGCTCTGTAGTTTACCTGTAATTTAAAAATGGGGGGTGAGGGAATGGCTGCAGTTGATTCTGTCTCTGCTTTTATCTCAGAAACTATTGAGTTTTTCCATTTCTCTTTTGCATTTCAGGATCCCTGTAGGAATCATAAAAGCTACAGAGAAGTTCTGTCTAGGATGAAACCACCCATTATCCCCTTTGTACCCCTCATCCTAAAAGGTTAGTGATATTTGATGGATACTGAGTCCTTGCTTTTCTCAAACTGGAATGTATGGAAAACTGTCTCAGGACTCTTCTGCAAAACCTACTAACTGGGTCATGTTGACAGGACTTGACTGGATGATGTCACCCTCAGCTTGTCTTTCTCCTAGCACAGAAACAATTTACCATTGTGCTTTTCTGCACTATTTAAAAACTAGTGTTTTTCAATTTGTTCTGGTGGAATTTTAGCCATGTGGTTTCCCTTTTACTCTTTAATCAGTCTAGGCCAGGGATGTCCAACCGTAGCAACTTGTGGGTTTTAACTCCCAGAATTCCCTAGTCCATCCCTTCTCTAGGCAATGTTTCCTTCTATTACTTGTTGTATGAACCTTCTGGTGGCATCCCTTCCGTCCAGTTATTAGCTGTTGCTCTGAATGAATTTTCAGGATCTCTTTATGGATGAAGAGGAGCATGCTCATGTAAAGCCTGAATTGCTCTCTGATATTCACTTATGCAACAGGATTACAGCAGCTAGTCAGAGAGGCCAGTTCCTTTTATTCCTCCCTGCCCTTCCTTCCCACTGGCAGAGGAGTGAAATTTTGGACTTTTTTTTTAACCAACCAAAATTGACAATAATTTTGCAAGTTAACAATGGTGGTGTCCCCTCTTTTTGTTCCTTCCCACCAGTGGACATACTGGAAAGTGCCAGGTATAAGGAGGAACTTAAACAAACAATTTATCAATAGAAACATGTCCTGAAGCCAGTGCAGGCATAGAAAAAACATTGGTGCTTGTTTTCTAGCAAGACGGGGAGAAGTAAAGAAGCAAGGGAATCCAGCAATTTGTGGCTGTGGTAATACCATCAGACCGAACATCTGGCCAACATTATTGCCAATTTTAGATTGAGTAGAAATCTGGATTACAGGTAGTCCTTTTCTTACAAGGATTCATTTAGTGACGAATCAAAATTATAACAGCACTGGAGAAGTGATTTATGGCTTGTTTTCACACTTGTGACCATTACAGTATCCCCATGGTCACATGATCAAAATTCAGGTATTTGGCAGCTGGGATGTATTTATGTCAGTATGTCCATGGACCATCTGATCACCATTTGTAACCTTTCCAGTCAGCTGTCAACAAGCAAAGTCAATTTTTCTGTTGTGTTCATTGCAGCATCCCCATGGCTATGTGATCGAAATTCAGACACTTGGTAATTGACCCCTATTTATGACCGGTTGCAGTGTCCTTGGAGGTCACTTGAACAACTTTTGTGACCTTCTGACAAGTCAATGGGGAAGTCAAATTCATTTACCAACCATGTTATTAATTTAACAACTGCAGTGATTCACGTAACAACTGTGGCAAGAAAGGTTGCAAAATGGGACAAAGCTCACTCAACAACTGTCTTAGCAACATAATTTTTGGGCTCAGCTAGCTGTTATCATAAGTCGAGGACTTTGTATGGTGTTTAAATTGAACACATCTAGAGAGTACTCCGTTACTCCGAAGATGTTCAAGAAGCAGAATCTATTCAGGGAAAAGTTTGGCGGTATTTTAGTTATCAACAAAACTATCCCTTTTCGGTTCCACCACAAAACCGCGGTCAACTAAAGCGCGTGTGACTAAAGCGCAGTGACAAAACCGCGCCGTCAAAACCGCGCAACAACAGCGCGCCGACAACAGCACGCCAACAGAAGCGC